AGAGAGTGCGCGCGCACGCATGGGGGCGGGGAGGGTCAGAGGAAGAAGCAGACTCCCTGCAGAGCAGGGAGCCCCACCCGGGACTCCAGGATCATGACCTGAGCCAAAGGCAGTCGCTTAACCAACTGAGCCACCCAGGTGCCCTACCCCAGAATTTCTGATTCACTAGATCTGAGATAGAGTCTGAAAATCTCTATTTCTGAAAAGTTGCCTAGTGATGCCCGTGTACCACATTTGAGATTAATGTGACCACACTGAGAACCACTGCTGTAGCTTTGTTTCTGTTGATTTGGATGTTTTCACTTATCATGATGTTTTTAAGATCCATCCAGGTTGCTGCCTCTCAGTCATTGCTTTCTGCCTGCTGTATAGTATTCCAGAGTATACATCTATGACATTTTAGTTATTTATTCTCAACGTTGGACACCTAGGTTGCCTGCAGTTTCTTTCTATAGTGAACGTTGCTATGATGAATATTCTTATATAAATCCACTGATGTTCCCATGTTTTAGTTTCTCTGTGGTTTATGAACAAGAGTGGAATTGCCAAGGAAAAGGGTGTATTACCTTCATTCTTGAACTGACAATCACAGGTTCCTCTTCAGCATAGCTGTACCAATCTATATGCCTACCTGTAGCACCTAAGAGTTCATATTTCCTTACAGCCCTCTCTCCAGAACTTGGTTTTATCTCATTTTCTAATATTTACCAAATGATGGGTCTAAAATAGTATGTTATTGTTTCAATTGGTATTTCTCCAATTACTAATGAAATCGAGTGTCTCCTCATATGTTAGCCATTCCACTCTTACAATCACTGTTAGGAGTTTCTGTATGACGTTTAAGATATAGATTAGGCATTTACAAGCATATTTCCATATCTGTTTTTAAAAAGTAAATGTACTTGTCAATGTGTATTGCCCTTTAAGTGCTGCTTTATCTGGGTCCCACAGATTTTGGTATGTATGGTTTTTATTATCATTTAGTATTTTCTATTTTAAGAATTCTCTTTAACCCTAGGACAATGAAGTAGTATGTTTTTTGTTTCCAGTCATGTGGGATTTTTTTTTTAGTGTTAGTATTTTGTTACTGATTCTATTTAATCTAATTTAATTAGAGAACATAACCTGAATGATATTCATTCCTTGGAATTTTTTGAGACTCCCTTTCTGATGAGGTACCTCGTAGATTTTTGTGACTTTTTTTTTTAAGTAATCTCTATACCCAACATGGGGCTTGAACTCACAACCCCAAGATCAAGAGTTGCATGTTCTACCAGCTGAGCCAGCCATATGCCCCTTTGTGGCTATCTTGTATATACTTGAAAATAATGCATTCTCTGTTGAACTGTTCCCTGTAACTCTCATTATTTTTGTCTGCTTGAACTAGGAGTTACTTTTGAGTGTGTCAAAATTGCCAACTACAGTTATTGATTATCTGATTCTTACCATAGTCCTGTCAGTTGTTGCTTGTGTTTTGAGACTGTGTGTGAGATATGTATATTTTATGATTAGTATATATGATCGATCATTATTTGCAGGTTCTGTATTTGCATATATACTTTCCTGCTAAAATTGATTTGTAGTCCAAAATCAATACACATAGTGATTTTTTTTTTTTAAGATTTTATTTATTTGACAGAGAGAGACACAGCGAGAGGGAACACAAGCAGGGGGAGGGGGAGAGGGAGAAGCAGGCTTCCCACAGAGCAGGGAGCCCCATGTGGGGCTTGATCCCAGGACCCTGGGCTCATGACCTGAGCCAAAGACAGACGCTCAATGACTGAGCCACCCAGGCGCCCCAATACACATAGTGATTTTGAGGTCGTAGGCCCTCTCAGCAGGAGCTAGGAAATATATATAAGCATACTAACCTGCACATGTACCCACATTTTTATTTGTTTCTGTATCTATCTGTATATACCCTAAAAAGAGTTAAGTTTTGATTCCAGTCCCACATCACAAGATTCAGTCTAGTCTTCCTCCTTTCCTACTCCCATTATCTACAATACATTCACTTGTCTGTTCAATCCTATTATACCCATAAAATACATATATAACAGCCAATTCATACTGTGAAAACATATTGTGTTTGTGTACATTTCTCTATGTCTTTAGCCTTGTAGTGTGCAGTCAAAATGCTATTTTCCAAAGTTACTTGGGTTAGTTCTTTTTTCCCCATACCCTTCTTTGTTGCTTTGTTATCTATTTATAATACAGTTAGGTTTATTACTGTTGGTATTCTATTTGGGGTTTCTTTCACATGCTGGTTGATTTAATTATTTATTTTGAGGGGCACGTGTAAAACATTACTGTTGTTCTAGAAGTCAAAGCTATCCAAAAGGTTATCCTTTGAGAAGTCTTGCTCCCTCCTCAACCCCCCTTAACTGTTCCCGGTGCCCCCTTCTTTCCACCCCTTTCCTTTGTGCCCATTGTAGGTAACTTTAGTTTCTCATTTATCCTTCCTATATTTCTTCTGCACAAATGAGTAAATACATGTGTATTTCTTACTTCCCTTCTTTATTACAGAAACAGTAGCATACTCTTTTGCACTTTGCTTTTTTCACTTCACAGTATATTCTGAAAATTGTTCCAATCAGTTTATAGAGATCTTTCTCTCTCTTTTTTTTTTTCATAGCTTTATGGTACTTTATTGTGTGAGTGTGTCATAATTTGCTCAGCCTTCTGTCCTATGTATGGTCGTTAAGGTTGTTTCCAAAATTTTGCTGTTACAAGCAATACTGCAACTTTGTGCATATGATTTTCTTATTGTTGGAGGTGTATCTTCAGGGTAGATCAAAAGTTAAATGAATATGTAATTTTATCAGTTTCTGCCAAATTTTTTTTACTGTACAAATTATTTGTATATAGTCAAATTTATCCATCTTTTTTTAAAAAAGATTTATTTGAGAGAGGGAGAGAGACTGAGCGGTGGGGAGGGGCAGAGGGAGAGAGAGAGAGAGAGAGAAGCAGGCTCCCCGCTGAGCAGGGAGCCTGATGTGGGGCTGGATCCCAGGACCTGGAGATCATGACCTGAGTCGAAGGCAGACATGCTTAACCGACTGAGCCACCCTGGCACTCCTCACTATTCTTTCTTACAGAACTTACATGGTTTCATTTTGATACAGTTAGCTCCCTTGTTCATTTGTCATTTATTATGTGTTATGTAGGTTATGGATCTGATTTTTTTTGAAATGGCACCAGTTGTCCCAGAGACATTTATTAAGAAGTCCATCATTGGGGTGATTGGGTGACTCAGTCGGTTAAGTGGCTGCCTTTGGCTCAGGTCATGATCTCAGGGTTCTGGGATCGAGCCCCACATTGGGCTCCCTGCTCAGTGGGGAGCCTGCTTCTCCCTCTCCTTCTGCCTGCTGCTCTGTCTACTTGTGCTCTCTCTCTCTGTGTGTCAAATAAATAAATAAAATCTTAAAAAAAAAAAAGTCCATCATTAGGAGCACCTAGTGGCTCAGTCAGTTAAGCATCTCACCTCAGCTCTGGTCTTGCTCTCAGGGTCATGGGATTGTGGGACAGTGTGGAGCCCCACATTGGGCTCCTTGCTCGGTAGGGAGTTGGCTTGTCCCTCTGCCCCTTCCCCTGCTTGTGTGCACGTGTGCACTCTCTCTCTCAAATAAATAAATAAAATCTTAAAAAAAAAAAAAAAGGAAGTCCATTATTACTCCTAGTGCTTTAGGATGCTACCTTTCTTATATACCAAAATTCTGTATGTACTTGAATTAATTTCTGGACTAGTTTATTCCACTGGTATATTTATCTATATATGTGCCAGTACTACTGTTTTAATTATAGAAGCTTTATAGTATCTTTTAATGTCTAGTAGGACTAGTTCCCCCTCCCCATATAGTTCTCTTTTTTCAGTGTTTTTTTTCTTGGCTGTTTCCTCGCTGTTCTTGCATGTTTATTTTTCCATAGAAATTTTAGTATCAACTTGTCTAACTCCATAAAATAGCTTGTTGGTATTTTTATTGGAATTGCAATGATTTTATAAATTAGGAAGAACTAATGCTGAATCATCCTATCTAAGAACAAGGAGTGTTTTTCCATTTGTTCTTGCCTACTTTTGTGTCTTTCAGGAGGGTTTTAAATTTTTCTTGGTATTAATTTTGCACATTTCTTACTAAATTTATTCCTATATGCTTAATCTTCTTTGATGCTACTATAAATGGAGTTTTCTCTACCATGTGTCCTATTTATTGTTTGTGCATATGAAGGCTATTGATTTTGAATATTAATTTTATATCCTGCCATTTTACTGAGTTCTTTTATTATTTGAGTTAGTTTTATCATTCATTTTTTTTCCTAGGGTTTTTCAGATATACTATTATTATATCATTTTCTTTTTTTTTTTAAAGATTTTATTTAATTGACAGAGAGACAGAGCAAGAGAGGGAACACAAGCAGGGGGAGTGGGAGAGGGAGAAGCAGGTTTCCCGCGGAGCAGGGAGCCTGATGTGGGGCTCGATCCCAGGACCCTGGGATCCTGACCTGAGCCGAAGGCAGACACTTAACGACTGAGCCACCCACGGGCCCCCTTTACCCATTCTTAAACCTCTAATTAATTTCTCTTGTCTAATTCAATTAGCTAATACCTCTAGTACAGTGTTGAATAGTAGCAGAGAGAGTGGATATCCTTGCCTCGTTCCTTATTTTAGTGGAAATGTCTCTGGTATTTCTTTATTAAATAAAACAGATTTTAGAACTAAGGGGTATGTGTGTATATATGTGGGTGGCTTTGTCACAGAGTGCTAGATATTTGGATAGAACATGGGAATAAAAATTAAGGAGAGGTATGTATGAAGCCTCCTTACTGTCTGTCAGATTCTAGGGCAACAGCATGTCACATTCAAAAAGCTAGAAAGTTTCATATTTCAATTGGGAATAGCAATGAGATATGGCATTATAGCAAGTCATTTGAATTCCTATAAATTGTCTTTATGTGTTATCATGGTCACATATAAAAATTTATCCTTATATATGTCTTACAGTGTGTGCTGTTTTTATGGAGTTTAAAGATTAATCATCCCAAAACAGTGTTTTTGCTTCGAGGAAATCATGAATGCAGACATCTTACAGAATATTTCACCTTCAAACAGGAATGTAAGTATAATCACTTTTCCAGAACTTTTTTTTTTTTTTAAAGTAAACTCTGCCCCTAATGTGGGGCTTGAACTTATAGCTCTGAGATCAAGTCATATGCTCTACTGACTGAGCCAGCCAGGCACTTCCATTACTTTTTTAGTTACCCTGTTGTCAGTCCCACAATGAATCAAACATAAACAGAAAAGAAACTAATGGAACTCAAATGCTTCCTGTTGTTTATTTTCTGGTAAGAACCAAGATTCTACCTTTTAAGACATTTATTTTGAAAATAACTATTGTGGTTTCCCCCTTTGTATATTAAAGTAATACATTTGGGGTATTTGAAAACATAGAAAAGTTCAAAGAAGATAAAAGTTGTCAAAAAAAAAAAAAAGTTGTCCATAGTCACATCACTTAAAAATAACTATTATCTCACTATTTGAGAGATAGTCTTCTTTTCTGTATATATAAAAGTCTATCAGGAAAAAAGAAGAAAAGAAAAAAAGAAGGGGAAAAAAAAAAAGCCTATCATGAAATAGTTCAAATGCATATATATCTGTACATATTTTCAAAATAAAATTGGGCTATTATATGCACTGTTTAATAAATTGCTCTTTTCCCTTTATGTAATAACATTTTTTGTACCGTTAAATATTTTTGAACATGATTTTAAAATGTTATTTTAATATTTTTAAAGTATCCCATCTTATGAATGCACTATCATGTAGCCAATTTAGTAATAACTGTATGACATTTCTGTTTCCAACTATAAATAATACTGTAATAGTAAAAAAGCTTATTATTAAAGGTAAAATTTTTGAAAGTCAAAATGTTGCTAGCTGTTTGAAAAACAAACAAACAAACAAAAAACCTCACAGAGGGATGCCTGGGTGGCTCAGTCGGTTAGGTGTTTGCCTTCAGCTCAGGTCATGATCCCAGGGTGCTGGGATCGAGTTCCGCATTGGGCTCCTTGCTTGGCAGGGAGTCTGCTTCTCCCTCTGCTGCTTGTGCTCTCTCTCACTATGTCAAATAACTAAAAAAACCCTCACAGATTTCTTTGACCAGAATCTAGGTACTTACAATTGGCTCTTAGTTAACATTCAGTGTGATGGTAATGTATTGGGTTTGTTTGAGAGAACTTACCCCAGGGCATTTGCACTTAGTGTTTCCCACATAGCTATCTGTTCGTAAGATCTACATCCTTACTTCATTCATATCATCTGAGAGACTTTCTTCCTTGGTTGCTTTTTCTAAATTAATTATCTCATCATTTTACTCTCATACCCTGCTTTTAAAAAAAAAAAAATCTTAACAACACCTTAAATTTTTATATGTTTTTATATAGATATTTATATTTTAAAAATACATTTGTTTATTATTCTCTCTTACCATAATTTAAGTTCCATGACAGCAGGGACATGTTTTATCCACTGTTGTTTTTCTAGAACAGTATCTAATAACTCATAGGAGATGCTTAAAAATATTGGTTGAATTAATTTGTTGAATGAATGATCATCTAGGATTTGTAATTTGGCACAAATTCTCAGAAGACAATTACTAAGTCAGAGGGCATGAACATTTTAAAGGCTTTTGATACATACTCTAACTAGCCCTCTAAAAAAATTATGTATCAATTCATACTTTAAGGAATTTTTGTCTTTTTATATAAAGTGGAAGGAAAATATTGAAATAAAACCCACAAAATTTTAACCTTTGATTTCTAAAATGTTACCGTATTCTTTATAAAATAAGGAAGCTCAACTAAATTCTTGGGTATTATTGGGACATCTGAGTGGCTCAGTCAGTTAAGCGTCTGCCTTCGGCTCAGGTCATGATCCCAGGGTCTTGGGATTGAGTCCTGAATCAGGCTGTCTGCTCAGTGGGGAGACTCCTCCCTCTCCCTCTGCTCCTCCCCTTCCTTATGCTTTCTCTCACTCTCCCACTCTCTATCAAATAAATAAATAAAATCTTTAAAAAAAAAAAATAAATTCTTGGGTATTGTCTGGCTCTAAAATCTACCTCTTTCTCCAAATAATACTGAATATATACAAATGCTTTAATGTCATGTAATTGATGGTTTGATCATGGATTTTACTTTGTGTCCTATTCAGATTTCTCTTCAAATTATTATCTTGGAGGAATATATCATAAAATATTTAAAGTTTTATTCCCAAAAGAATATTCAAAGTTAAAAAAAACAACTTTTAAATTTGTTTTCTGAGGCTCAAGAGTTTATCCAATCCTTCTCCCCAAAATCCCTTTACTTATAGGTAGATTACAACTTGATAGTGTTCCATATGCTGATAGTAACTCTTGTTATTGTAGCTTCCTACACTGGAGTTGGCAGTTGTAATAACAGCCTTTCTCCTATTAGATCCTGAAAGGAAAGGTCATTTTTATTACAAAAAATTTTAGAGTATGAACACTTAAAAAAATTCCACTGGCAGAACAGTCAACTACAAGTGGGCAAGATACAGATCATTTCAGCCCTTGGGACTTAGAATGAACCATTCAAATCAGTAGGTAATATGCAGGAAATTAAAAAAAAAAATTAGATCTGTTGGTGAGTGTTTAAATTGGTATAAGGTATTTGAAGAGCAATTTTGGAATGTCTGTAAAAATTTTTGACCCAGCCATTTGGCTTCTTCTAGGAATTTTCATGCAGGTTATATATGGTTTTTAATGGTATATAACAAATCACCACAAATTTAGCTGTTTGAAACAATACATTTATTATCTCACAGTTACTATAGGTGAGAAGTCCAGGCAGAGTGTGGCTGAATTCTCTGCTCAGGGTCTCCCTGAGCTGAAATCCAGGTGTCACCAAGGCTGCAGCTCTCACCTGGAGCTTGGGGTCTTCTCTAAGTTTACCAGTTATTGGCAGCCCTTATGACCTTAGGGTTAATGTTCATTGTTTTCCTGCTAGCTGTTGGCTAGGGACTGCCCTCAGCTTCCAGAGATTGCTTGCAGTTCTTTGCTCCCACAGGCAGTTCACAGTATCGATGTTTGCTTTCTTCCAGGCAGCCCAAATGCACCTCTCTGCCTTCCTCTTCCCTGATCAGCCAGCTGGGGAAAACCCTTTGCTTTTCAAAGGCTCACCTGATTAGGTTTGGGCCCACCTAGAAGAATCTCCCTTTTTTTGCCCTAACGATATATAATCATGGGAGGCTCAACATATTCACAAATTCCACCCACTGAAAGTGGGCGTAGATTATACAATGCTGTAGGTCATTGCTGGTCATTTTAGAATTCTGCTTACCATTCTGTATACTTGCAAAAAGACAATAAGATATAGATGTATAAGGATGTATGATAACAATTATAGTGTTAATTGTAATAGCAAAAAAGAAAACAAAGAAAAAAGATAATTTAAATATCAAAAAGGGACTGCTTAAATAATACATTTAAAAATGTATTAATACATTTTCAAAAATGGAATACTAGGCAGCTGTTGAAAGATCAAGGTGGGCCTAGATGTACTAATATGGAGAGATGTTCAAATACTTGGTTAGGTGACAGAAGCCATTTGCAGAACATGTATAATATGATCTCCTTTGTAAATTAAAAATATATAATGTGCAGAAAATTGAAAACAGTAATTACCTGTGGGGAGCTGGGTCAGCAGGACTTGTACTTTTAATTTTATATCTTCCTGTGGTACTGCTGCAGTTATCTTTTATCACCACCATGTACTCCTATTATAATAAATTTTTAAACTGGTAACTTCAAAATCACCTGAATGGACCCCAAGCATTTAAGAGGCTTTTTAAAGCACCCCAGAATAATTGTGCTGCATGATGCTGGTTTAGAACACCTGCTCCAGAGGCTTGGAAAGTATCTACTATTTGTCATCTGAGAACCACTTCATGAAATAGTTTAAAAATTGGAAATATTTTGCATTGTTTTTATAAGGCAAATATGGGGATATTACTCATTACACTTCCTTTTCTTTACCTAGGAAAATTAAATAATGCATATCAAGCAGTTGACAAAGGCCCTGGAACGATCAGTATTTAGCAGTAAATAAGTCATAAGAAAGCTGCCTATGGATGCCTCTGTTGTGCATTAAGGGTCAGGTTTTTTTAGGTAACATTTTTATTCAGTTCTTCCTCTGTTTTCTCAGAGTTTCTTTTTTGACTAGTAAAAATTGGTTCAGACTATTTTTAGAAGATGGAACAATAGGTTCTGGGAAACATTTTAAGGGTTTCATTTGCACAGAATTGCTTATCTTAGGTTTTTATTTGCTTTTCACATGCTTTAATTTGTTAAACCAGATTTCTTTCTTTTTTTCTTCAGAGATACTCCTGTTTCATTCTAATGCTGCATCTGAAATGTGAATAAATCTTGGAACAAGCACACAAATACAATTTCACATTTTATTCTTATGAGCAAAGAGCATGTGTGCTGCTTTGCATGGATGTTTTCACTGTTAATGATCTCTCTTCAAGGGCCACCGTGGCTTTTAGAATCAGCACCTTACAATTACTGCTAAGTGATGCTTCATTCCAGATTGTGCAGCTGCAGTCTTGTGACTATTTCTAAGGGTGGCAGGTGGAGGTTGTTTTTTTTTTTACATAAATTCTTTTTTTAAAAAAAGATTTTTTTATTTATTCATTTGACAGAGAGAGAGAGAGCACAAGCAGGTAGAGTAGCAGGGAGAGGGAGAAGCAGGCTCCCCACTGAGCAAGGACCCCGATGCGGGGCTCAGTCCCAGGACCCCGGGATCATTACCCAAGCCGAAGGCAGTTGCTTAACGAACTGAGCCACCCAGGTGCCCCTTTTTTACATAAATTCTTAAATTGCTTTACATTACAGTTATTTTTAATATTCCTTTCAAACCCAGAGATAATATGATAGCAAAGAAAAATAGAACAGTTAATTTTTGACATATCATTTATCTTTGCAAAAACATTGCTTTACTGTTGTATACTTGGAAAGTAAACCTAGTTAGTACTTTTATGATTCCATCCCATAGCTCTGGGTCCAAATTTCTAAAGTAAATTAGTTGTTCCCATGAGCCATTTTTTGATGTTTAATTAAATAGCTTACTGACAGGTTCTAGAAACTCCTGTAATTTTGCTAATGAAAACAGTATTGTTATGACAGGTTTATTTTTTAAAAATAAGTATTGCTTGTCGTATTAATGCCTACAGTATTATTTGTAGTAGTAAGAGATTAGTGTGGTTAGATTGTGGTATATCCATAAAGTGAACTACTGTGTAGACATAAAAAATTAATTACAAAGCTCTTCATATAAAGATGTGGCATGATCTTCAAAATATGTTAAGTACAAAAAGCAAATGTAAAACAGTGTATATATGCTACCATTTAGGTAAAAAACAAAAGGATGTTTTGAAAAGAGAATAAATGTATATATCTGCATGTGTATGCATAGGGTATCTTTGTAAAGACCTCCAGAAAACTAGTAATACTGGTTGCCTGCAGGGGGTGGGTGGGAGGAGTAGGGGTTTGTAGACCTGTATAACTTTTTACAGCTTTTGTATTTTGAACCATGTAAATGTATTTTTTTTTTAATAATGAAAGCAAATGTAAATGAAGATAAGTATATAATCAGTGGCTAGACCAGGTCATGGTTTCTAGCAAATAGTGTTGACTCTCAAAATTACCTTTAAAGAATATTGTTGAAATTCTGTTTTGTTAATGTTGCATTACTGATACTGGTTAGAACTTGTATCATCAGTGTGATCCTGTGATTGAGGTACATTTTCCTTTGTTATGGAAATTATTGTTTTATGGGATAAAGCTTAAAATTTCTCATGAAAATTAAACACTGAGTCAGCTAATTTAACCTTTGGGAATTATATATTTGGCTATTTAGATTCTCCTATTAAATATTTAATTTGAAATAATGATTGGGAGGAGAATTGCATGGTATTAAGAGCATGAACAGGTTCAGTTTTCAGTCTTGCCACTTACTAGCTTGTGACTTCAGGCAAGTAGGCCCAATTTCTTCAGCTTTTTAGTGAAGATAGTAAAAGTACTTATAGGGTTTCTGTGAAGATAAAATAAGGTAATTTCATTAGTTAACACATAGTACCTAGTGTGTGCCAGACGTTATTCAAAGCATTTTACATATATGAATTCATTTAATCTTCACAGCATCCTTGTAATATAGGTATGTATTGTCATTATGCCCATTTTATAGATGAGGAAATCAAAGCACAGAGAGCTAAGCAATTTGTGCTGAGTATCACAGCTAGTAAGCCAAGCTTCAGATCCAGGCAGTCAGGTTCCAGACTCCATTCTCTTGATCACCATGCTGTGGGAAACACTTAACTCACTGATGGCACAGATACATTGTGAGCCTTCAACAAATTTCAATGATAAAGGTAATATAATAATAAATATTACTATACAAAGTTATATAATTCATCAGAGAAAATACAGATAAACTAAGTCAAGGAAGAATATAGATACCTTCAGTCTAACCCCTCAGAAAGTAAATATGTTGGTATTTATATACCTATTCATATACTTTAAGAAAATAAAAATTTTGTAAACTATTTTGGTCATGTGTTAATATAACATTAACTTCTTTTTTTTTTTTAAGATTTTATTTATTTATTTGATAGAGAGACACAGCAAGAGAGGGAACACAAGCAGGGGGAGTGGAAGAGGGAGAAGCAGGCTTCCCGCTGAGCAGAGAGCACGATGCGGGACTCGATCCCAGGACCCAGGGATCATGACCTGAGCCGAAGGCAGATGCTTAACAACTGAGCCTTCTTTATGCTTAGTTTGATTCATAACCTCCTGGTTTTTAAAAAATTTTATGAATTTTTTTATTTTAATTCCAGTACAGTTAACACGTAGTGTTATATTAGTTCCAGATGTACAATATAGTGATTCAGCAGTTCTATGCATTACTCAGTGCTCATCATGATAAGTGTACTTTTAATCCCCATCACCTATTTCACCCATCCCCCCACTCACCTCTCCTCTAGTAACCATCAGTTTGTTCTCTATAGGTAAGAGTCTGTTTCTTGGTTTCTCTCTCTCTTTCTCTCTTTTTAATTTTTTTTAAAGATTTTATTTGAGATAGAGAGAGAGAGCACGAGCGGGGGGTGGGGTGGGGAGGAGGGGCAGAGTGGGAGGGAGAAGCAGGCTGTCCACTGAGGATCATGACCTGAGCCCAAATCAAGAGTCAACGCCACTTAACCGACTGAGCCACCTAGCCACCCCCCAAACAGCAATGTTACTCAGCCATAAAATGAATGAAAACTCTTGCTGTTCGTTATAACATGGATAGACCCAGGGGATATTATATTAAGTGAGATAAGTCAGACAGAGAAAGACAAATACCATATGATTTCACTTATATGTGGAATCTGAAAAACAAAACAAAAACAGAAACAGACTCAAATACGTAGAACAAATACGGTTGCTGGAGGGGAAACAGGTGGGAGAATGGACTAAATGGGTTAAGGTGCTTAAGAGGCACAAACTTCCAATTAGAAAATAAATAAGTCACAAGGATGAAAAGTATGACATAGGGTATATAGTCAATAGTATTGTAATAACTATATGGTAAGGATGGTAACTATACTTATGGTGAACAATACATAATGTATACACAATCCATTGTTGAATCAATATATTGTACTGAAACTAATATGACATTGCATGTCAATTATACTTGAATTAAAAAAACAAAACAAAACTCCTCCCTATATCTAAGCTTAAGACTCTTACAGAGGAATTTTTTATTGACATTGGCAACAGAGGGAACTCTGGCTCCAAGGATTTTCAGGAGAAAAAGTTAATCACTGGCCACAAACAAAAGGAGTTGGGTTTTTGTTTTTGTTTTTGTTTTTTACTTTTTTCCTCATATAGACTTTATGGCCAATATGGATCTACTTTTGCAATAGCCAAAATTTACAGTGTTCAAATAAAAAGCAGAATATAAGGCTGTAATTGTAAGGAGATGCAAAGATGCATAAGGCATGGCTCTTATTAACTTGGTTGTCCTAATAGAGTTAGCATATGTTGTGAAATAGATGATCTTAACTGCGGTACAGTAATACAAAATGCTCTGAAGTTTTTAAAGGAACCCACAGACTCCCTTAATGCCCTCAAATCTTGGCAATAAAGAGATCCTCACATTCAGGAATGTAAAGTCTTATAACTCAGATATGGTTCCCTTCATCTATACCTACCCTTTAGGAATGTCTCTCCAGACATTTCTGCCATCCATGTTCTATACTCTGGCCCAAATCTGGACCATTACCCTTCACTTTATTCTCCAAAGCCTTGCCAAGACCAGGTTCTGATCCTTAAACACATCTTTTCTAAAAGCTTGGAAATTACAAGGAAGTAAACACAGAAATAATTATCAACTAGATAATCTGATTCACTTGCTGTGGCTTTGTTCTCTAGGTCCTGTAGGCTTGTCTCATCTTCACAGAATTTTGGAAGAGAAGGAGCTCATAGTTCTGTAGGGCTGCCTGCCTTTACGACCTCTGGCCTTCTCTACCAACAGGCACCTCCAGGCTTGACTTTCTGAAATCCAAGGCCAAGGAAGAAGAAAATATTCCCTTTCTTTTTAAACTAAAACCATCTTTCAGCTTTCCATCTCTTACTTCATGACAGATTCTTTCTGGATAATTGTGGAGACCCCACCCTCTGCCCACTGGAGTGTTTCCTTGTTCTTTAACCCCAAAATACAATTCATAAAGATGAACATTTATTTTTATTTTTATTTAATTATTTGAGAGAGACAGACAGAGGGAGAGTGAGAGGGAAAAGCAGACAGGGAGCCCGATGTAGGACTGGATCCCAGAATCCTGAGGTCATGACCTGAGCTGAAGGCAGACATTTAACTGATTGAGCCACCTAGGTGCCCCAGAGATGAACATTTTTATATAAAATGGAATTGGAACAAAATTTGCTAAAAGATCTTAAAAATCATAGCAAAAGAGTATTGATATTTTCTTGATTACTCTTAAAACTTCAGTTTCCATTTATATATCTTCAGTACCCCCCGGGGAGTCTTTTAGTCGGAACAAAATATTCAGGCTTACAAGATTACCATGGGCCATATTGGCATTTATCTACTTAGAAGGATACAGTCCAGACATGGCTGCAGCTCCAGGCATCCCTTTTCAGTGGAGTAGTCCTCATGGGAGTGGGTATAGCAGTCCGAAGTTTTTCTGCCTCCCTCTCCCCGTCCAAGTAACAGTTCAGGTGCAGGGAAACTACCCATGTTGGGCAGATCAGAGAGCCACTGTGGCTTAGAAGCCTTAGGTAGCACAATTGCCAATATTGCCTGTAAAAGCTTTATTGGTATAGATTCCAGGATCCCACAGGGACCTACCTTGAGTCATTGCACTCAGGAGTACAAAGCTATAGCTACCAGGTAATTGAGTAATTTTTAACATAAGCAATGTTGCCTAATAACACAGCTGACTCACCTTATCAGGTTTCGAAGGCAACAGAGCTAGAAAGTTAATCCAGCGTAGAGGAGATTTTGTTTACCTTTTATCCACAACTTTTCAAGAATATTTTTATAAAGATGATTGTTTTCAAATTTGCCTGAAATAAATGGCTTTGAAGTAGCTTCATAATTTTCTGTCCAATATCCTTTTTCATATATGATAAATTTTAGCTTTTCTTCCTTTGACTGTTTTTCTTTTTTTGATAGGTCGAATCAAATATTCTGAACAGGTGTATGATGCGTGTATGGAAACATTTGACTGTCTTCCTCTTGCTGCCCTCTTAAACCAGCAGTTTCTGTGTGTACATGGAGGGATGTCACCTGAAATTACTAGTTTAGATGACATTAAGAAAGTAAGTAATCTCAGTAGTCTCATGGAGTATATGTATTTTTAGTTTTATTTTTTACTGTAGTCAACTAATATGCCTCTATTGCTGAAAATTTTTAAATACAGATAATCAGAAATAAGAAAGTGGAAATCACCTGTGGTCTCATTACTGGGAGACAACCACTGTTAACATTTTGCTAAATATCTTCCAGAAAATTCCTGTAAATTTTAATGAAATCTGTACTTTCACCTTTCATCCCTGTCCTGCAGTGAATTGTGTAACCTTGACCAAACCACTTAACTCTTAATCACATTTTCTTTTTTTTTTTTTTTTTTAAGATTTTATTTATTTGACATAGAGAGAGACAGTGAGAAAGGGAACACAAGCAGGGGGAAGTGGGAGAGAGAGAAGCAGGCTTCCGGCAGAGCAGGGAGCCCGGTGCGGGCCTCGATCCCAGGACCCTGGGATCATGACCTGAGCCGAAGGCAGACGCTCAACAACTGAGCCACCCAGGCACCCCTTAATCACCTTTTCTTCTCTGAGAAATGAGAAAGTTAGAATGGATGGTCTGAGGACTTCCAGCTCTGAAATTCATTGACTTTGACATTTTTTATTTTATTTTTTAAAGATTTTATTTATTTATTTGAGAGAGAGAAAAAGAGAGAGAGCACATGAGAGGGGGGAGGGTCAGAGGGAGAAGCAGACTCCCTGCTGAGCAGGGAGCCCAATGTGGGACTCCATCCAGGGACTCCAAGATCATGACCTGAGCCGAAGGCAGTCGCTTAACCAACTGAGGCACCCAGGCGCCCTGACTTTGACATTTTAGATGATAGAGTTTAATTGCTACACTGTGTGAGTTGGTGATTATTATTTTCAGGATTTTCTATAGAGATGATCAATCTTTTTTCACGTCTGTTGTTCTACGTTATCATCTTTTCTCTACCTTTGTATTCTACTTGTCTCATGTAGATACTGAAAGTAAAGATTTTTCTGTTTATAAAACTTTTCTCTGAATTAAAGTTACTCTCCTCAGGGTAAGAGGGTATGCCTACATTTCTGCTGCCTTATGGTCTTTAAAATAACCAGAATTTCTCTTTTACATTGTTAAGTCTTGAATTTTGCAATTCTGAATCACTTGTATTAAAAACCTCCCCTTTCACTTAGTAGAAGTCCTCAGCTATCTTAGTTACTGGTTTTGCCTTGGTTTTTATGCTACTAACCAAAGCAGCAATGACTCAAGGCTTAAATTAATAACTTACATTGAAATGCCTGCATATAGAATGGAAAGGATGAAAGTCCTTTACAAAATAAGACTAGAAATCTCCATTGGAATGAGGTAGACAATGAAGAGAACAATTGTAAAACCTTTCCTGCCCTGATGGTAATGTTAGCTCACCTGGGCAGTTGAAATGAACTTTACATAGTCTTTCTCAATAGTAGTATATCTCCATAGTGGTTGATTTCACATTTGAATTAGATGAGTACTGCTTTTAAGACTAGGATGTAGGGGCGCCTGGGTGGCTCAGTCGCTAAGGATCTGCCTTTGGCTCAGGTCATGATTGCAGAGTCCTGGGATCCAGCCCCGCATTGGGCTCCCTGCTCTGCTGGAAGCCTGCTTCTCCCTCTCCCACTCCCCCTGCTTGTGTTCCCTCTCTCGCTGTGTCTCTCTCTGTCAAATAAATAAAATCTTAAAAAAAAAAACAAAAACTAGGATGTAAAGCAGTCCTTTTCTACAGTATGGTTAGATGACAGGGATATTTATACAAATTTATTTCAAAAAAATAATAAAAATTGTGTATCCAAATTTGTTAAATACTCATTTTCTTCCTAAAGGAAAAATTCTTTATGGGGCTTGCTGCTTTTTCTCCTAATACATTCTTGTTGGTGGGAGGGTTTTGTTTTGTTTTGTTTTTGACCCATACCAGTTTCCAAAAGTTCCTTTTGCCTTCATGATTTTTCTTCTTTTGGCTTTTGTGTGTTTTCTAGTTAGACAGGTTTAAAGAACCTCCAGCCTTTGGGCCAGTGTGTGACCTGCTTTGGTCTGATCCTTCAGAGGATTATGGTAATGAAAAGACCTTGGAGCACTATACCCACAACACTGTCCGAGGGTGCTCTTATTTTTACAGGTAAGCTAATCCTCAAAGTTATAAATTAGGAAAGGCGATTGTAATATGTATCATCAAATTATTTGTAAGTACTTTATATCCCTAATTTTTGTAGTATAAAGACTTTTGTTTAATTTTTTGATTAATAGAAGGCAGAAAATTCTTGTTTATTTTGTTTTTTATATTTTGATAGGTATTATGTACCCTCATAATATATATGAGTACCTTCATTAATACCTAAGTGTAATATACTGAACATGATTGAACAGAACATCTTGCAGTGCTTAAATGTTATTATCTGACCCTAAATGATCTTGATTATTTGTTCCCAAACATCATCTATGAGTTTTTTTAAAAAATAAAGATTTGTTGGCTCTTCCCCCAGAGATTCTGATTCAGTGGGTCTGAGACAGGAAAATCCTGTTGGTTTTTTTTTTTTTTTATGAGGTATTATTTTCTTAAAGATTTTATTTATTTATTTGACAGAGAGACACAGCGAGTGAGGGAACACAAGCAGGGGGAGTTGTGAGAGGGAGAATCAGGCCTCCCGTCAAGCACGGAGCCTGATGCGGGGCTCGATCCTAGGACCCTGGGATCATGACCTGAGCCAAAGGCAGGCGCTTAACGACTAAGCCACCCAGGCGCCCCAATCCTGTTATTTTTTTTAACAATCTCTCCAGCGTTTGGAACCACTCCTATAGGCAAAGATATAAAAAGAACAGGACATTGTGAACTAAGCCCAGGACATTTCCTGGAAGTTGGCTGTTGTCTTAAATCTCATATGTGAGCTTTTATTGTGTTCTGCCATTCAAAAAGAGGGGGAGAGAGAGAAGTGTGAAGTCTAAGTTTTTTTAATCCCAGTGTTTTACTGTGACAAGTTAATGCATATATTTAGTTCAAATCTGTTAATTGCCTAGATAGTACATTTATTAAATGAAATCCACATATATTAAGTAAAAAGCCTTAATATTGCCATAGTTTTAACCTTCTTCTAGGCAACCTTGTTTTATTCCTTTCTGAGTCATTTAAATTTTACTTCTTTTTAAAGTTTTTTAAAAAGATTTTATTTATTTATTTTGAGAGAGAGAGAGAGAGAGTACATGCACACACTGAGCCAAATCCAAGTCAGACACTCAACTGACTGAACCCCTAAATTTTACTTCTCTTTACATTGCTTGAAATAAAGAGCATAATACCTTTTTATTGTTTGTACAACATAAACTCTATGACTTCTTTGGAGATGAGCTTGACAACATCTATTATAAATGCCCAGGGCCTTTGATCCAGAAGATCCTCTAAAGTGTAATCCTGTGGCTATACAATTGATCCTCATTATTTACAAATTCTGATCTTCAGATTTGCCTTCCTGTTAAGAATTACTTGTAACTGCAAAGTCACCACTCATAGCACTGTCATGGTCATTCAGAAGTGCACACATGCTGAATGATGAAAAATTTGTCACCCCATCTGTGTTCCTAACTGAGGTTAACAAAGAGCTGCTTTGCTGTCTTGTTTCAGCTTTCATGCTATTCCACCATTCTTTGTGTGGTCCGTTTAGTGCAATATTTTTCACATTTTTTGTTGGTGAGTTTGCTGTGTAAAATGGCCCTCAACGTAGTGCTTAGGTGCTACCGAGTATTTCTACATGTAAGAAGGCTGTGATGTGTCTTAGAGAGAAAATACATATAAGCTTTATTTGGGAATGACTTAAGGCATTGTTGTCCATGAGTTCCATGCTAATTAATGAACAGTATATGTTAAATAAGTGTCCTTACACAGAAACACACATGAAACAAGGTTATGTATTGATCGGTTAGTGAAAATGTGACCAGAGGCTCACAGGACACTAACTGTCTATTTTCTCTAGGAGCAGTGGTTCAGTTTTGACTAATGCTGTATTTACAAGTTAACTTTGTAGAACATAGCTACTGCAAATAACAAAAATCAACTATGTAAATGTGCAGATATGTAAAATGTATACCCTTGAACAACATGTGTTTGAACTGCACAGGTCCACTTAAACGCGGATTTTTTTTTATATAAATATAATACTATACTAGAAATGTATTTTTTCTTGCTTAACATTTTCTTTTCTCTAGCTTATTTTTGTGTAAGAATACAGCATATGATGCATAGTACATACAAAGTATGCGTCAATTGACTGTTATGGGTAAGGCTTCTAGTCAACAGGCCAGCTTTTGGGGGAGTCAAAAGTTACATACATGAGGGTGCCTGGCTGGCGCAGTCGGTAGAACATGTGACTCTTGATCTCAGGGTCGTGAGTTTAGGCCCCATGTTGGGCATGGAGCCTACTTAAAAAAAGTTATACACATCGGGCGCCTGGGTGGCTCAGTCGTTGGACATCTGCCTTCGGCTCGGGTCGTGGTCCCAGGGTCCTGGGATCGGGCCCTGAGTCGGGCTCTCTGCTCCGCGGGAAGCCTGCTTCTCCCTTTCCCACCCCCCCTGCTTGTGTTCCCTCTCTTACTGTGTCTTTCTCTGTCAAATAAATAAAATCTTTAAAAAATATATAGTTATACACACAAGAAAAAAGTTATACACAGATTTTTGACTGCAAGGGGAGTCAACACTCCCCACATTGTTCAAGGGTCAACGGTATAAGGTTATTCACTGGTGTATTATTTGTGATAAATTTATTTTTTTTTAAGTAGGCTCCACACCCAGCAAGGAGCTCAATGTGGGGCTTGAACTCACAACCCTGAGATCCTAAGATTTAGAGTGAGATATTTAACCAACTGAGCCACCGAGGTGCCCCTATGATAAAAGATTTAAAACAACCTAAATGTTCAATAGAAAAATAGTTAGTTAAATACCTTGTGGTACATTCAGACAATGGAATGTGCCAGACTATTCAATGAGGCTATTTTTTTTTTAATAAAAAAATAGAAAAGAAAACAAACCCTTTATGTATGGATATAAAATACAGGCATACCTTATTTTATTGCACTTCGCTGTATTGCACTTCATAGATACTGAGTTTTTTACAAATTGAAGGTTTGCGGCAGTCCTGTGTTGAGCAAGTCTCTTGGGTATTATTTTTCCAACAGTATTTGCTCACTTCCTGTCTCTGTCACATTTTGGTAATTCTCCCAATATTTCAAATTTTTTTATATTTATTTATTTAAATCATTATATTTATTGTGATTTGTGATCTGTGATTATGACCACTGAAAACTCAGATGATGGTTAGCATTTTCATCAATAAGGTATTTTTTATTTTTTTTTATTTTTTTAAGATTTTATTTATTTGCAAGAGAGACAATGAGAGACAGAGAGCATGAGAGGGAGGAGGGTCAGAGGGAGAAGCAGACTCCCTGCTGAGCAGGGAGCCTGATGTGGGACTCGATCCCGGGACTCCAGGATCATGACCTGAGCCGAAGGCAGTCGCTTAACCCAACTGAGCCACCCAGGCGCCCAATAAGATATTATTTTTAAGTTAAGGTATATACATTATTTTTTAGACATAATGCTATTGCACACTTAATAGACTACGGTATAGTGTAAGTTTAATTTTTATATGTACTGGGAAACCAAAAAATTAATTTGACCTGCTTTATTTCAATATTTGCTTTGTTGTGGTGGTCTGGAACAGAACCCACAACATCTCCAAGGTATGCCTATAGAATATCTTTTAAAGGGTACTCAAAGAAATCAGGAACATTGGTTGCTCCTAAGGTAGCTGGAAGATAGATGTAGGAAGAAGGGAGGCATTTAGGGGCGCCTGGCTGACTCAATCAGAAGAGCATGCAACTGACTCTTGATCTCGGGGTCATGAGTTTGAGCCCCACATTGGGTATAGAGATTATTAAAAAAAATAAACTTTAAAAGAAAAAAAGAAGAGAGGCATTTCACTGTATCTGTATCTCACTATTTGTATCTTTCAATTTTATACCATGTGAATGTACAATCTATTTTAAAAGTTAATTTTTCTAATGAGCATAATAAGAAAGATTTAAATATAAATAATTAACACTTGGATAATTCTAGGATAATTTGGTATTCTCCATTCTCCAGTTTTTCCTATCAGGTAATTCTTCCCCCCAACCTCCACCCCCGCCCCTCCACCCCAGAGGGAGAGAGGTGGAGGGAGGGGCAGAGGGAGAGAATCTTAAGAAACCCGAATAGAAATTAAGAGTGTACTTGTGGCGCCTGGGCACTGACTCTTGGTTTTAGCTCGGGTCTTGATTTCAGGGTCATGGGATACAGCCCCCTAGGGCTCCATGCTCAGTGCAGAATCTGCTTGGGATTCTCTCTCCCTCCCTCTCTGTCCCCCCACCCCACTCTTGCGTGCTCTCTCTCTCAAAATAAATAAATAAGTCTTAAAAAAAAAAAAAAGTCAGACGCCTAACTGACTGAGTCACTCAGGCACCCCAACCTATCAGGTTTTTCTAAATGTAGAAAGATAATAATATTGAGAGAAAATGTTAGGAGTAGATGCAAATATCACACCTTTCATTAGAATACAGTTGGGTGTAATATTTGCATTTACTCCTGAAATATTCCTGCATAATATCAACTTGGCGTTGATATTACTTGTGAAGCTGTAAGTAGGTTATTTAACTTTTCTAACAATTTGATAATTTGAAAATTGTGTGTTCAGTTTTTAGCACCTAATCTCTCTCTCTCTCTCTCTCTCTCTCTCACACACACACACACACATACACTACTGGGCTACTTTTTTTTATATCAAGACAAGACAAGTTTTGGTGTTGTTATGTTAAGGGTTAAGACAAAAAATTTAAAAGGTAGTAGGGAGCTCTTTTCCTGTCCTAAGGTTGTCTGTTATCTGCATATTTGATCTGGAATGAGGTATATTAGTGAAGTGGAAAAACAGTGATGATTGCTAAGCCATTAATAAAAGTTCAGTGGTATGTCAAATCTATAATTTTGAAACAAATTCAACTAATAGCATCTTGACTTTTCCCCTTCCTCCTACTAAAAACCAGTTGTTGTAGTTCTGGGTTTATGTTTCCTAATTTTCTTTTTCAGTTACCCTGCAGTTTGTGAATTTTTACAGAACAATAATTTGTTATCAATAATCAGAGCCCACGAAGCCCAGGATGCTGGGTAAGTTATATTAAAACTGTACCAATTATCATTACAGAGTTTTTGCCTTTTATATCAAGACAGACTGTTATCTCTCTTCCAGGTATCGAATGTACAGGAAGAGCCAAACAACAGGCTTTCCATCACTCATTACAATTTTCTCTGCCCCCAATTACCTAGATGTCTATAATAATAAAGGTAAAGGAGTCCAGTGATATTTGAGTTTGAATTTGTGAGTAAATGTGAGCTCTAATTTAATCATATATATGTGTATGTATTTTATATATAAGAAAAGAGGTCTTAATTGAAACAAAGGCCAAGAAACTTAGAATTTAGACTCTTGCTTGGTTTTCATTTCCTAAGGATTATTGGGCTCTTTGTAAATATAACTAATGATCATAATAGGTCTGATATGTACTCCTGAATCAAAATATAAGAAGAATAGGGGTGCCTGGGTGGCTCAGTCAGTTGAGTGTCTGGCTCTTGGTTTTGGCTCAGGTCATGATCTCATGGGTCTTGGGATTGAGCCCTGAGTCAGGCTCTGTGCTCAGTGGGGACTGTTTGAAGATTCTCTCCCTCTGCCCTTCCCCCCAACTCCTTCTCTCTCCCTCTCTCTCTAAAATAAATAAATAAATCTTTAAAAATATATATAAGAAGAAGAAATTCAGGTTCAAGTTAGAATAGTCATCATAAATTATTACTTTTGGTGAATTTATTTGTAACAGTACCTCAATAAAATGTCACTATTTGGAGTTTTAATGTTTGTAAATTATTAAGCTGTTTTTGCTTTTCTTGAGGAATGGTACAGGTAGATGAATACTGTACAAAAAGTCAGAAAAATCATTGTAGTTAAAGCCCTGCCAGAAACTAAATGGTGTGACTTTAGGCAAGTCACATTATTTTTCTACACCTCAATTTCCCATATAAACAGAGAGGATTAAATATAAACATGCCTTCAATCCAGAAATTCTCATTCTAAGACTTTATCCTATTGAAAATTTTATTTTTACATACGCCCAATGTGGGGCTTGAACTCATGACCCTGAGATCAAGAGTTGCATACTCTACTGACTGAGCCAGCCAGGTACCCCAAAATCTTTTTTTTTTTTTTAATTTTTTATGATTCATAGTTTGTAAGTTTTGTATCAGGGCAAACTTCCTCTGTAATATCCTCTGTAACATGCCTCTGTAACTATTTTGTTGTTTACAAAGTATGACTATAAAATAATAGAACTTGTATACAAACATGCCAGAACGTATATATCCAAGTGAGTATTGTCCCTTCACAGTAGTTACCTTGGGAAGCTATATGCTTATTCCAACAATGCTGCCATTGTTCAAAGCGTTTTCGGAACTCCTCTTTTGGCATTGCCTTCAGAGTCTGCGACACATTCTTTTGATTATCCTCAGTGATGGGAAATCTTCGTCCTTTGAGGGTGGATTTGATTTTTGGAACAGCCAAAAGTCATTTGGAGTCAAGACTGGTGAATAAGGTGAGTGATCAAGCTAGATGATACCATTTGGGGTCAGAAACAAGGTATGATTATAGGGTAATGAGACTGGTTTTTCTTGTGTTGCTTATAAAATGGGTCTGGAGGCGATTCCAAAAGAGGAGTTCCAAAAATGTTTTGAGTAATGGCAGCATCTTTGGATTAAATATATGGTAAGGCAGCAAGGTGTATTGAAAAGAGCACTAAGCTAGGATTCAGAAGAAATTCTAGTCTAGTCCTGCTTCACTTTTAAATTCACAGCTAACATGACACTTAATTTCACATTTAACAAGACACTTAACTTCTCTGAGCCTCGGTGTATCTTTAAAATACCTGTCATATAGGGTTGTTGAAGATAAGTTGGAATACTAAAAATAAACATTAAAAGCATCTGTCAAACTCTAAATTGCTATGATACTATAACATTTTACTGTTATTGTGCCTAGTGTGATTACATCAGAGGACCACACTCATCTCATATATAAGGTCTGGTGTGTTTGTAGTTGGTGGTTTTTAAGTCTCATTACTTTATAGTCATACCTTGTATATGCAGCTGGGGAATCAAGTTTAAAAGAGGTCCACAGTATACTTACTATGTAGCCTGTTTAAAGGGAAACTAAGGAATGGCACATCTCACTTCAATCTGATTTGAATCAGTCATCTCAGTGGCTTACTATACATTTTAAAAAACACTTCTTTGACTTCAGTTCTCTTCCAGCATCTAGTTTTTTTACATCTCATCATTCTTTTCTGAATCTTAGCTATCCCACCACACTCTGCTTCTCCCTAACTCCATTCTTTCTTATTTCCTTCCTAATTCCCAATATGTTAGAGACTTAGTTTTCTTCTTATTTCTTCCATTATGAATGGTATGTGCTGCTTGTGTTGGCAACTTCTTCAAGGACACTTCATGGCCCTAGTCCTCATATCTGTGATGAAGACATTCCCTTTTCCCTTGTTCAGGCTCACTAGGAAGAGTGTTGATTGCACAGTGGATTTGTCAGTGTGCTCAACTGAAACCTGCCACCCAACACAGCAGTCACTTCACTCATTCACTAAATGCCAGCTCGTTTTCTGCCCCATTCTAACCTGGTTTTGATCTTGATTATTCCTTTAGTGAATAATCTTTTAAGTCACAGTCCAGTCTACCAGAGTTTTCTGTTGACTTTGACATAATTGGTAACTTTATCTTGAAACATTCTTATTTTCCTTGGTTGTTTCTCAAACTTCTTTTTTTTTTTTTTTTTTTAGGAAAAAGACAGAGTGGTATATGAAATAATGTCTGCTGGTACTAAGTTACTCCCCATCCAAGTACCTCTTTCTTGAAAATGACAACCCTCTCTCCCTTTCCTTTTTCTCTTTCTTCTTCTGTTGCTTTTCTTTCTTTCATATTGGTACCAAAGAGTATTTCTTAGTTCCAATGATTATGTGAAAGATCCTTAAGTCATGATTTTTAAAGATTTCTATTCCTATTTTTTGTGTCCACTGGGAACATACCCAAAAGCAATTTTTTATGCTCTCATTTCTAATCATCCACTGTAAAGAGCCACCTCTCACTTCTTTTTCCTGTGTAGATTGAGGGAATTGTTGAATAATTGTGTATTCATCTAACCTAAATAAAATATATACACATGAAAATAATGGGACATGTATATTAGATCCAATGTTAGGTTTTTAAGAGCAGGAGATCCTACTTTCATGTATTTTCTTTATAATCCATGGTATACATTTTAGACACTCAGTAACTTAAATTTTGAGCACATGAGACTATCCTTTAATAAGCAAAGAAACAGGAACCAGGAAATGACCTATATCTGTCATTTCTGAAGTACTTCATACCCGAATCTATTTATGATCAAGTAAGACTAAAGAGAATAATGCAAACAACATCGCAGAGCTCGTGCTCATGGTGAAGTCTAAGAAATTGGATTTTCAAACTTTTAAAATATAAAGAAAATTAGTTTAGTACCAAAGCATGTGTACAAATACATGAACTGATCAAGTTAAACATTTATATGGTGCTAGCAATATACTAACTCTGTATAGGAGAGATGGATTTTTAATCCTCTGTATAATATGCAGAGATGATTTAATCTACTTCTGAGCTGTGTAAATTGCTCCAAGTTTACCATCTGTATCCCCTACTATGAATTGATAATGCTATGTTCTAAACTCCCAGAGAGTTTATAAAATCTTTGGCACTGGATAATGACTAGCAAAAGAGGCTGTGTTTGCTTAATGAAAAATGTTTGCCTTCAAAGGAGAGCTGTAATTGTAACCATTTGGCCTATAAAGGGAAATTATGACAAAATTTTTCTAATGTGGAACCTGAGATTTCTACAGATGGTTACAGCGCAGTGACCCTTTGAAGTTTCAGAGCTCAGTTTCTTTTGTACTTTTAATATATGAGATCTTCAGGTAACTTTGTTCCTTGGGATAATTCTTAAAAGAATGAACTGTATAAAATGCTTTAAGATTTTCCATCTGCTCTTAAATATCAAGTCGTGAACTTACAAGTGGAAAGGAAGTTCATGAGTTCTGTTTAGTAGGTACACAGCTATACAAAGCATACCATTTGCCATGTCATGTTCCTCTGTGCCATATTTTCCTGCTTTTTCCTTTTTAGCTGCTGTGCTAAAATATGAAAACAATGTCATGAATATCAGGCAGTTTAACTGTTCTCCACACCCCTACTGGCTTCCAAACTTTATGGACGTTTTCACATGGTCTTTGCCATTTGTTGGGGAAAAAGGTAAGAGAATTGGATGCTCAGTTGTCTTAATTAGTGATGGAGCACACTTTTATATTTCATGAGTCCCCTGATGGTTCAGAAATGTTTTTCTTAAACTTACAGAATTAAAAAGAATAAAAAATAATAAATAATAAAGCTATCCGAAGTATTTTCTAATTTCTTTGTTCTCTACAAAGATTTTTAAATGGCACTTAATTGGTTTTTTATTTTATTTATTTTATTTTTTTAATTTTTAAATTGGTTTTTAAATTATAGTTCTAGTCAATTGTGCGCTTATTGTTGTAAATATCCATTTAAAGCAGCTACCCTACTATGATCAGGATGTTAAAATAACATAAGTCACTAAACCATTCCTTTGTGATTTCTTCAGTGATAAAGAGATTTAAATAGGAAATAGTGTCCTGTAGAATTTTATTTGTGCACCTATACAAATAAGCTATGCAAATATAAAATAAATTTGTTGGGCATAGACCTGATGGCTTAACATCTTTGTAAAATGGGAGGAAATCTTTTCATGTACATATCAGTGAGGAAAAGGCTCTGGACAACAGTCTCATGAAATCAAGTAATTATGCAATAGAATTTTCAAAGACCAGGCTTTTACTGAAGCAAGTAATTTCCCCAAATTCTATATAAACCTGAAGGTCTAGATTTAATGCTACTCTTTATAATTACTCTTAATAGCATAATGACAAATAATTTTTGTTTATGTTTATTTAACATGTGTTTACTTAAACATCCACATCATTTTAGAGAGAATACCTTATTAATTGTATACATTTTGGGTTATTTTGTCTTATATAGTCACAGAGATGCTGGTTAACATTCTCAACATATGCTCTGATGATGAATTGATTTCCGATGATGAAATTGAAGGTAAACTTGCCTTTTTCTCATTTGAACTAGAAATGAAGTTTTGAGTTTGATTTTAGTTTGTTTTGAATAATTTTCTTTGTCTTATTAGAAAAGAATTGTGTTCATTACAGAAAAATAAAATTTGAAAAATACTGGAAACCGCAAATAAGAACAAAAAAGTTACCTGTAAACCTGCCATCTCATAAATATCAGCTATTCACATCTTGATGTAATATTGTGTTACCTGTCTTATATCTTTGCATATATTTTCCCCTTTTTTTCCTTTTTAACAAAAATGAGGTCATGTATTAGTATCATAAACATTTATAGTTTTTTAATAGACTAATTTTTAACAGTTATCTAGTTGTCTTTATTGGTGATTTTTGTTTTAATCAATCTCCTGCTGTTGGATATTGGATTTTTTCCAACTTTTTTGTCTTAAAACCCTACAGTTTAAAAATTCTTATAGATAAATCTTTACACATTCTGTCAACAGCCAGTATTTATTACATGACTAATATATAGCAAGTACTATTTAGGTCCTTGTATGCAATAAACTTATATTCTAGGGGAGAGAAGACAATAAATAAGTACAAGTCAGATGTTGATATATGATATGAAAGAAAGGGAAGCAATATTAGGAAATTGAGAATAATATGTTCTTGATTATGTTCATAGGATAAATTTCTAGAAATTGAATATCTGTGTCATTTAGTACTTACAATTTTAAATCAGATACAGATAACCTCTAGAAAGGCTGTACCAGATTCCATTTTGTGTGTGTGATGCATAGTTCACAGTGCACTGTCCAATACTGTTTACTATCATTTTTATAGTCTGGTGTTTTTAAAATTTTAATTTGTATTTTTATGATGACTAATGGACATTTTTTTTTATTGACCGCATGTATTTTTCTTTTGTGAATTGTCAATTCATACCTTTTGCCCATTTTCCTACTGGGTTATGTGCGTGTTTGTTTGGTTTTTGCTTTTCTTATTGGCTTGTGAGCGATCTTTATATAGTAACATTTTGTTATATATGTAGCCAAGTATTTTTTTCCTAGTGTATTGTGGGCAGTTTGATTTTATTTATTTATTTTTTAAAGATTTTATTTATTTATTCATGAGAGACAGAGAGAGAGGCAGAGGCAGAGGGAGAAGCAGGCTCCCTGTGGAGCAGGGAGCCCGAGGCAGTTTGATTTTAAAGATAGGTCCTAACTTATCTGAGAATGCAAAAGATTCTGGAAAGATGGTGACACCTGAGTTCAAACCTCTGGTTGTCTCATTTTCCATGCTCTGTGCTGAAGTGATTCATTCAACTGTTAGGATAAACCATCTACATAGTGGAAAAAGCCTAGCTTACTTTGGGCAGATAGAGGGGAGTCCTAAACATAGTTATGTTTTAGATTCCACATTGAAGGTGAAGAGCAGATGGAGCATAGCTTGTGAGCATCTTTATGTATGAGGTAGCAGATCATTATAAGGAACCAGTTCTTTTTGAGGAAATAATTCAGGCAAGAGAAAATTCAAACAAAATAAAGAATTTAAGTTAGGGGAAGATGAAATATGTAAGAAATAGATCTAGTAGGATTTATATTCAAATCTAGGTGGATATGGAAATTATTGTGAACTCTATTGTATGTACTAAGAAAGGATTCTTAATTACCATAAAGATATGCTTACAAAATTATGCCAAAAATTGCATATGGGAATACATATTAAAGTATTGTCATAGTATCAACAGAATCAGAACAATCAGAACAAATGTCCCTGAGTGGAAAGGTGGGTAAATCAATTATGACATACCCATTTGATAGATTCTCTACATAGAATATTATTTTGCAAGCCTCCTCTTCCCCTTCTCTTCTAGTTAGCTCTTGTTCAGCTTATTGTAACATCCTCATGGAAGACATTTCTGACCTCCCTGACTAGATCCAGTACCCCTGTCATGCTGTCTCATATCACCATGTACCTCTCCTTAGCATTTAATAGAATTGTAATTTTGCATTTATTTATATTATTATAAGAGTAATATATTTTACTCCCACTCAACTGTAGACTCCCCAAATGCTAGGATACAGTTGGTTTTTGCTCACCAAAATAGCCCTAAAGCCAAGTATAGTGTAGTGAGCATGATAAGTAAATGTTGAGTGAGATTGAGTGATATGTGCAACTATTAAAAAAAGAATGGATTAGAGCAATCAGTGCTAATATGGAAAATGTACTGGATATTCTGTTAAGTGCAAAAGTAAATGAATAGAATCTTCTCATTTCCATTTTTTACAGGGTGTGTAGATATAAGCTGATACATGCTTTTTAATTTTTTTCTGAAAGGAAATGAAGAATAACTTTTTAGGTTATGATGGTGAATTGAACATACTTCTAATTCCATTCCTTTCTGAAACTACACTAAAAACAATACAATTTTGGTTTTATTTAAGTGATACAAACTAAGGATTTCCACTTTAGTAATGCCACACTAGATAGTTTAAATCAACCCTGACTTAAGATAACTGTAAAAACTAGACACAATATTCTAAAATTTGCTTTAGAGGCATTCAGAAAGCTAACAAAGTAAAATAATTACCAAGTTGAGATCTGGAAAAAAGACATAAATCCAGAGAGGTAAAACCAAAATTTGGGACTATTTCTTTCCTAGAGATATCCATGAATTTCAAAAGAAGGAACTAAGATGTTGAGCAGCCGTCTTGATAGAAGCTAAAAAGTTAGGGTTTGGGGTGCCTGGATGGCTCATTTGGTTGGGCGTCCAACTCTTGATTTCAGCTCAGGTCTTGATCTCGGGGTTGTGAGTTCAAGCCACGTGTTGGGTTCCATGCTGGGCGTGGAGCCTACTTAAAAAAAAAATTAGGGCTCATGCCTTGCCAAGGATGATGTGAGGGCTGGTGAGTTTCTCCTCATTGGTTGGGGACCCCAGAATGTTGCATCTATGTAAGAGTAAGGGTAAACTGGAACTAGAACAGCCCTGAAAGTCACTATAGCCTACCTTCAAATCATTTCAGTCCATGAAATTTAAATAAAGTAGCCCTAGGCACCTGGCAAAAGCAAACCTCTCTATACTAAGATAACATCGCGTAGGACTTTAAATTACTACAAATAATCTTTCAAATATATAATATATGACTCACAACCAAAAATAACTAGGCATATGAGGAGATATAACAACATGAATGAGAACCAGCAGAAACACCAAAAAATAAAAACAGATGCCAGGTTCTCCAGACATTGGCTTTATCAGACTGAACTTTAAAATAGCTGTGCTAAGGGTGCCTGGGTGGCTCAGTCATTAAGCGTCTGCCTTCGGCTCAGGTCATGATCCCAGGGTCCTGGGATCGAGCCCCACATCGGGCTCCCTGCTCAGCAGGAAGCCTGCTTCTCCCTCTCCTGCGCCCCCTGCTTGTGTTCCTGCTCTGGCTATCTCTGTCTCTATCAAATAAATAAATAAAATCTTTAAAAAAAAAAAAATAAAATAAAATAGCTGTGCTAAACACCAAACCAAACCAAAACAGTGCTTACTGTGTTCAAGAACATAAAAAACTAGGTTGAAAATTTTGGCAGAAAATTGTGAATTATAAAAGCAGAGTTGATAAAGCATTGAAAGAAGATGCTAGGAATGAAAAGTAAAATAAATTTTTAAATTGTGAAAGATGAATTAACAGATTCAGTAAAGCTAAACCAAGAATAAATGAACCAGACAATAGGTCAGAAAAAACAATCTAGAATGAATCATGAAAAGAAAAAATAAAATACCAAAAAAGGCCTAGGAGACAGAGGATACAGTGAGTAGGCTTATCATCTGTATGTGTGGAGTCCCAGAGAAGAGATAGAATAGGTAGAATCATTATTTGAGGAGATAATGGATAAAAATTTTCTAAGGTTGACAAGACATTAAGCCACAGATTGAAGAAGCTCTGTAAACCAACGCAGAATGAATACAAAGAAAATAACACCTGAGTACATCATAGTAAAAGTACTTCAGATGACAAAGAAAAAAATCCTAAAACAACCAGAAAAAAAGAGATTAATTTCAAAAGAGACCAATTAAACTGACAGTAGAAGCAAGAAAAATGGAATAACATATTCAAAGCACTGAAAGATAATAACTGGTAACCTAGAGTTCTATACCCAGCAGGAATGCCTTTCAAGAGTGAAGAGAAAATAAGCATTTTTCAGATACCCCTCCCTTAAAAAATATACTTAGGGAATTACCAAAAGACCCACTAAGTGATATTTTATTTTATTTTAAAGATTTTATTTATTTATTTGACAGAGAGAGAAAGCACACAAGTAGGGGGAGTGGCAGGCAGAGGGAGAGGGAGATGCAGGCTCCCCACTGAGCAGGGAGCCTGATGTGGAGCTCGATCCCAGGACCCTGGGATCATGACCTGAGCCGAAGGCAGATGCTTAACTGACTGAGCCACCCAGGTGCCCCCTAAGTGAAATTTTAAAAAATATTATTCAAGCAGAAGGAAAATACCAGATGGAAGCTTGGAGATTCAAGAAGAAATAAAAAGTAAAAATAGTAGAAAATATGTGGGTAAATCAAATGAATGTAAACTGTATTACACAACAATAATAATGTTTTATTAGGTTTAAAAGACAGAATTAAAACATAAGACAATAATAATTGGCAGTGGGATAGAGATAAAGTATGTGAGGACTGCATTATTTGGGAAGAAGGGGAAAGTAACTGTTAGCGTTATACTGGGTGGGGGGGCGTGTCTCATTGGCTCAGTTGGAAGAGCATGTGACTCTTTATCTTGGCTTATAAGTTAAAGCCGCAGGTTGGGTGTGGCGATTACTTAAGTAAATAAATAAACTTAAAAAAAATTGGAAAAAAAAAAAACAATATTATATTTTGGTAAGTAAGAGATACATGTTGTGATCTAGAGTAACCTTCAAGAAAAGAGGGTTTTTTAAAGTATTTAACTTTTAAATTATAGAAAAAAATGGAATGATAAAAAATAACCCACAAGAAGGCAAGGAAGGAAGGTACATAACAAT